CACAAGTTCACAACAATACTATCTATAGATGTGTGAAATTTTTTATGTTTAGACAAATAACATAAATAACTTCTCTATATTCCAGTTGGTCTTTCATTTATTTGCATTATTTGGGCACGTCACATTTGTATATGTGCATAAAGTGTTTAAGTTTATGTTTTGTCAATCTATTGTAGGTTGAAAACACACAAAGTTTATGTTGTGACCTTGTGTTGTGTTATTGTATACAAAAAAAAGTGAAAAAATCACAAAAACTGAACCAAACTGAATTGCAAACTATTGATTTGGTTTGGTTTGAATATTATAAAAAACTAAAACTGAATCGAACCCCACATATTTTTGTTATTTGGTTTGGGTGACTTTTTAGTTAAAAACTGAATCGAATCGAACTATGAATGCCCCTAGTTTAGTGTTTTACTTATATATTAAATATTATTAATTTATGAATAACATTTTATTTTAATTTTTAGTGTTATAAAATCATAATGTTATATTTATTTAATATTATTTTTATATTAATAATAATTATATTTTTTTATTAATATTAAATTGATCACAATTAATTATGATTAAATTATTGAACTTTTAATTATTTTTAGATCGATTCAATGAATAATCTAATTTTAAAAATATTTTAAAATATAATAATCACTTAAAATAAAATTTAATTTTATAATAAAATTAATTAAAACATAATACTTTAATTATTTTTTATTTTAATAATTTATCTTATATTATTTTTAGTTAAGATCATTTGTTAATATTCCCTCAATGTCAACTTATTTTTTTTCTTCTATGATGGTCACTTTCTACCGAAGTTTCAAGATTATTGTGTTAATGATATAAAACATCTTCCCAATAAGAAAATTTTCAATTATTGTGTTAATGATATAAAATAAAGGGCTGCACAAGATCTTGGCTAAGGTTACACACTTAACTCAAGGTTTTATTTATTTATTTATTTTTAATTAAAGTTAAAAATATTTTTTTACATGTATGGGTTATTATTCAAATGATTATAAAATATTTTTTCACCCGTGTTTTTCCTAAAATTATTCTCATGATTATATAACTTTCTCAAACTAGAAAGACATTTCAATTCTAACGTTATTTTTATCACGTCATTTAATATAATTATATAATTATATTTGAAAGAAAAAATATATTTAGTGTAATTCAGTTATTACACAATGAAAAAAATTAAATAAAATCAACTAATTTTGGTTTATCATACAATTGTCACCTCGTCATTCATGCATGAAATGTATGTTCAGGATAAAAAAATTTAAAACAATTTTAGATCATCGATAGGAAAACATAATCCCTTACGGATTACATATATATAAATACATCAACTACATAATTATATGCAAAATAAACTTAATTATCAGTCAAACGTCTAAACAAAAGCAAGCTACATAAGAGAAATTCCAAAATTGGGTCATCACCAGCATGACCCTTAACCAAACTACATAAACACACTTGCTAATTATGCTTTGTTCTCATACCAAGTATGGTATAAGGGTGAAATTGTGTATGGATAACCCGCAAATCCGCACTAATCCAAACTGACCCAATCAGTTTAGATCAGGTTTTTCTTTTGTGTTTGAGTCATATCCAACCTGACCCGTTCAAAACCTGGTGTTATATGGGTTGAGTGACATGTTTAGTGATTTCTGCCCCATTATCCGACTTTACCTGATAGTACATAATTAAAATAATAATAATAATAATTTAGAAATAGAAATTAGAAACTCTTTCAAGTGATTTCAACAATAGTCAGTACTCACTAAATTGACTCAAATTAGAAATAGAAACCTAAAACCCTCTCACTCAAGCCTCAAGTTAGGGTTTATTTGTGAAGCTACCCTTGCCCGTTGCTCAACCACTAGTTGAGACAATCATTATGCATACAAAGTTTTTTTTTTAACATAACAAGGGCACCTAAAGAAGCTGGATTAGGCAATGCAAAAGTTAGTTCAAATGGGATGGATAGACGAGGAGTAAAAATAACTCAAGACCACAAGAGTAATTCATCAAATAAAAAAGCCATCACCATATGCATGAGAATAGTTCAAGTTTTTTAAGTTATATTGTCCAATTTTAATGTGTAGATCAATTGATGATATTAAGCTTGACTCAATTTAATAATAAGGAGAGAGTGAAAACAAAAGTTGGCAATAATAGGGTGTAGGGGAAACATGAAGGCGCTTTCCACCTACCATGATCAAAAACATTCCTCATTCCTTAGTAGAAGTGTTTAGCATCTCAATCATAGATGGATGAACAAATGTTAAGTATAAATAACCTTGGCCTCAAAAAGTGTTAGGTTACAACTTAAATTTGATTTCTTAGGTTTCGTCACTTAAATTAAGAAATCTAGTACTACTATTTGGGTATAACAACTTGGGTATGAATTTACCACGATATTAGTTTGCAACACTAAGCCTCCTATAGGATTAACCAACTGACTACTCTCCAAATACTACGTTCTTCTAATACTCAGTTAAGGGCTAAGACCCCAACTTTGTACTTTACTCGATTGGTCACTTTATACACATATGCCTCGACTTCTCTCACATATAGATTCCACATAAAATCTAAAGGAGACAACTTAAAACAATAACCCATTTAGAAGCTAGATTACTTACTGAAGGGTCTCAACTGGACTTTTAGAATATCACAACTTATATATACACAATGAGGTATTTTAATTTCTAAAACATCTTTTACTCACTTTTAGTTTTTATGTATCTCAATAGAGACATATCTACACCACATGCCTAATGACTTAACATATTAATCAACTATACAACATCTTCATCTATCAACTTAGAACTTAACAACATAAATATCATTATACATTCTATCAACTCAAAATACAATATGTATCGTCATACCATCTTCACCATATAACTCAGTCATCATCTTTCAATCATAAAACAACTTAAAACATCACATAAAAACTATGCAACTCATGCCTAATGCCTTCGTTTAGGCATTTGACGCCATCGAGACAAGGGGCTTTTTGTTTCATTCATGCACGACACCAAACTACCCATGTCCAACATGACTAAGGCATAAAGTTTCCTACACTCTCGCACCTGGCGTGGTAAAAATCCATGCTTGACCTCAATCAAGAAAATGGGTCTCTACCTAATTCACACCTAACACCACTTCATTGACACCCAACGTCAACCCAAGAAGAGACGATTATCTTTCCTCACACTTGATGTCATTCAAACCCACACCTGGTGTGGCCAAGTCAGAGAGGATTATCCCTCCTCACACTTGACACCATGAAGATGCACTTGGTGTGGCGACGAGTTCTACACTTGTTAGAAGCTCGATTTCTCCCAATCCACTTGAAAACTAGAAATCCACCAACACGCAACATACAATACAACATATACACTACAAAAAAATGACGATTTTGCGACGGTTATGAAGAGTTAGTAAGTCAACAAGACTAACTAACCTAAAAGTGTTAGCAAATACAAGCAGAAGAATACATTTGAATACATGTAAATAATACAACAAATAAAAGTATTTATTATCCTATTCTCTTCTCTAATAAATAGTTTGTCAAACCTTTTATTTGGTTAAAATTTAAATGATAGGGTGTTGATTTTGAAATATGTTATTTTCTTTAGAAATGTTTTCCTTAAAAAAGTTCTTTTTTACCCACCTACAACAAGAAAAGACACGGAGACACATCTCTAATGATGAAGGTTACCCATGAGACTAGCTCTAGAACATGCTTTCTGGCAATATCGGGATTATCTTCCATCAGCAGTTATCATGTTCTGTTCCACTATTTGTTCTTCCATTGGGTACTTACCAATTGTGTTCTTTTTATCCCTTCCGTGTAGATATCCTACTTGAATGCTTTGCGGTTCGGGTTGAAGCGTATCTTTTTTGGAGGATTTTTTATAAGGGGTCATGCCTATACCATGGATGCTATTTCTTTTGCAATTCATTTCTGGTACATATATTGTCTAATGATTTGTCGTAGTAATTTTTTATATATATTTTATTTTGATTTAATTGTTATATTGTGTCAAGATTTATATATTTGTCATTCAGGTCTAAAGGGGATGCACAAGCAATGTTCTTGCGACATGAAGGATTTTTGGGAGCTTTAGGTGCATTTATGAGCTATGAAAAACACGGTTTAGATGACCTCATGGTGCATCAGTTAGTTGAAAGATTCCCGATGGGTGCTCCATATACAGGAGGCAAGATTCATGGCCCCCCACTTAGGGATTTGAATGAGAAGGCAAGTGAGAGCAATTGAAAAACCTTGATGTTTGCTGGTCATCTGTTTGAGAAAGATGATCTAATTAAATGTGTTCTAACTCTAAGCTATGGTGTAAACTGGAAGCCAAATTAATGAGATTGATTTATTTGGCTATTAATTTTGGTACCATCAGCAATGTCCCACTATATTGTGTTAAGGGCTTGAGTTTCCCTTGAAGCAATAATAAAATTACTAAATTAACTCCATTAGTGAGATTCCCTGGAATAGTATGAGAGAAAGAATTGAAAGAAGATTTCTTAAGGAAAATATTATTGAATAATAGAGAATTTGATAAAGTGATACACGAGAGGTATCACCTACATATATAGACCTAACGGACTTAACTAACTCAAGAGTTAGTAAGTCAACAAGACTAACTAACCTAAAAGTGTTAGCAAATACAAGCAGAAGAATACATTTGAATACATGTAAATAATACAACAAATAAAAGTATTTATTATCCTATTCTCTTCTCTAATAAATAGTTTGTCATATCATCCATTGTAAGGAATCATATTGAATGGTATTGGAATAGTTGCCCTACAACAAGAAAAGACACGGAGACACATCTCTAATGATGAAGGTTACCCATGAGACTAGCTCTAGAACATGCTTTCTGGCAATATCGGGATTATCTTCCATCAGCAGTTATCATGTTCTGTTCCACTATTTGTTCTTCCATTGGGTACTTACCAATTGTGTTCTTTTTATCCCTTCCGTGTAGATATCCTACTTGAATGCTTTGCGGTTCGGGTTGAAGCGTATCTTTTTTGGAGGATTTTTTATAAGGGGTCATGCCTATACCATGGATGCTATTTCTTTTGCAATTCATTTCTGGTACATATATTGTCTAATGATTTGTCGTAGTAATTTTTTATATATATTTTATTTTGATTTAATTGTTATATTGTGTCAAGATTTATATATTTGTCATTCAGGTCTAAAGGGGATGCACAAGCAATGTTCTTGCGACATGAAGGATTTTTGGGAGCTTTAGGTGCATTTATGAGCTATGAAAAACACGGTTTAGATGACCTCATGGTGCATCAGTTAGTTGAAAGATTCCCGATGGGTGCTCCATATACAGGAGGCAAGATTCATGGCCCCCCACTTAGGGATTTGAATGAGAAGGCAAGTGAGAGCAATTGAAAAACCTTGATGTTTGCTGGTCATCTGTTTGAGAAAGATGATCTAATTAAATGTGTTCTAACTCTAAGCTATGGTGTAAACTGGAAGCCAAATTAATGAGATTGATTTATTTGGCTATTAATTTTGGTACCATCAGCAATGTCCCACTATATTGTGTTAAGGGCTTGAGTTTCCCTTGAAGCAATAATAAAATTACTAAATTAACTCCATTAGTGAGATTCCCTGGAATAGTATGAGAGAAAGAATTGAAAGAAGATTTCTTAAGGAAAATATTATTGAATAATAGAGAATTTGATAAAGTGATACACGAGAGGTATCACCTACATATATAGACCTAACGGACTTAACTAACTCAAGAGTTAGTAAGTCAACAAGACTAACTAACCTAAAAGTGTTAGCAAATACAAGCAGAAGAATACATTTGAATACATGTAAATAATACAACAAATAAAAGTATTTATTATCCTATTCTCTTCTCTAATAAATAGTTTGTCATATCATCCATTGTAAGGAATCATATTGAATGGTATTGGAATAGTTGCCTACCTCATGTTAAAGGAAGTATATATAAAATTGTTAATAAAATTTAAGTTCATTAAGATAATATACATAATACGTCAAAAAAAAAACTTTTAAATTCTAATATAAAAAAAATTTGTCTTGTAGATTGTGACGGTTTATAGTAAACCGTCGCAATGCTGAAAAATTTGCGACGGTTTATGATTAACTGTCGCAATGTTAAAAAAAATTTGCGACGGTTTATGATTAATTGTCGCAATGTTAAACAAATTTTGTGACAGTTTACGATAAACCGTCACAATGTTGAACAATTTTGCGACGATTTTGAAAAACTGTCGTATGAAGGGTCGCAAAAGTGACGACAATTTCTAGATAACTGTCACAATTTTTCCATCGCAATTTATCATTTTCCTTGTAGTGATAGGTACCATAACACAACTCGAAAACTACATCATACATATCATGCAACCAACAAAATTTTAGAAATTCAAAAGTGACTCAAGCACACCATTTTAAGATCACCTTCCACGACATATTCAAATCATGACCTTCACCAATTTCAAGAATGCAAATGACAAATTTCGACCATAGCAACAAGCATTCAACATCAAATGATTTAAACCACAAAGTTTCCCTCACTTATTGTCAATCTAAACCGATAAGAGGAAAATAGAAGAAATGAGCGTCGTACGACCTCCAACTTGAGATTTTTAACTCTGAAAGCTCAAATTCTTTAACTAGCTAAGTGAATCAAGTACAAGGAAAGAAAGAAGGAAAAGCTTTTCAATTTAGAATAAGGAGAAGAAAATTTGGGTTTAGAGAACTTCTCTCTTGAATTTTCTCAAACACATGAACTTATGAGGTTCACGTCTTAAGAAAAATCTTATATACTCTTCTTGAGGTTGAACCAACTTAACAAATCCTAGGATTAACCCAGAGGAAACCTAACTTTCAGGATCCCTTGACCACCAGAGTTCTCAAACAACATATTGACAACTAAAACAATTGATCAAATAATTAAATCAAGCACCTCAAAATTAATAGTGTTATAATTGACAAGAGTGGTGAGAAGTGAATTTTTCATAAATTAAATAAATTGACCTATGTTATAAGTTATAAATCATATACAAAACATTTTTTAAGGTTTAATATAATTTTTTGTCTATGTAATTTACTACTACCTTTTCATTTTATTTTACTTTTGGTCCTTGTAATTTTATTTGTTGATGTTTCATCCTTGACATTTTATAACAAATTAAAGATAGTTCTTATCATCAATTATTGTTAAAAAGACAAATAAAATACATATTATATATTTCACTTCACCATTGTCATGTAAATTAATTGATTTTAATTTTTTTAGACAAAATTTTAAAATGCACTTCACGATAGCCAAACCCTCACCCTTGTGATTGTGCTTCTCCTTTCATGTCCAAATTCAACAATGCAAACCTTAAACATCCCAATCCAAGACCCAATCCTTCAATGAGGAACAGCTTTTCATAATCTGTGATCTCGACAACAACACTAAGTTCTTTCTTAACAACCATCACCTCTACAAGGTCGTCATTGGCCACCATCTCATCATGGAGGAGTTTGATCTCACACCAGGCTACTCCCTCATCATATAGGAGCTCATGTACCACAAGAGTGTCCACTACTCTACTGGCATCACCACCAATGTCGCCTCCCCCAAGTGCAAGAAAATTTGTGCCGATTAACTTAAGACCATCAAGATTGTTGCCACGTGCTACAGCCTCCACAACAGCAACGAGCGAGACACCTCATTGGAAAAAAGAGATTGGTGGTTCAACTCTACTATCGACAATAGTTAGGATGTGACGTTTCATAGTCTGAAGAGGGTGTGCATAAAGAACATAATGAAGTGATAATAACAGTAAAGTACATTTTAAAACTATCTAAAAAATATTAAAATTAATTTACCTACGTGACAATAATAAAATAAAATATAACAAATATAATATATATTTCGTTTGTCACATAAGTTTTTTTTTTAAAAGAAGTTGATGATAAAAACTAATTTTAAAATGTTATAAAAGATTAGGAATAAAATAATAATAATAAAATTTAGATGAACTAAAACTTAGAAAATGATAAATTATATGGAAAAAAATTATATTTGTTTGTTTTTTAATATTAAATCAATGAATAACTTTATTGGGTCTATCCACGCACCACGCTCCATAGTTTTATTTTCCACACGCCATAATAATTTATGAGCATTAAAGTGAAAAACTAATTGATACGAGAAACTCTCCTTTGAGGGAACAAAAACGTGTAGGGACTAGGGGCCCCAATCTTATTTATTGTATTGCTAAAAGGGTAAAAACAACCATAGCAAGGGATGATAATTATGGTAGGGGCGAATCGGATTTTGTTTTCATGTTAGTCATTTTATTCCAAAAATAGCATTGCATGTATGTCTCTCTTGTACGAAGGCAACAAATTTTTTAACTTGGTAATGGTAAGTAAAACAAAATAGATACACCTAATTGTAATACGATTTAAATATTTATTTTCGTACTAAACAACCCTAACAGCACATATTTATTAGTCTCATAAAATAATTACAGTGAAATTTTTTCGGTAAGAATTTAACTTTTTAATAAGGTGCATACGATTTAATAATTAGTTGATAAAATTAAAATTCAAAATAAAATAATAGAAAAATGCTCTTCCG